CCCAGAGTTCCTCACTGGCTGAGGAACTCTGGGAGTTGAAGTCCACAAGTCTTAAACTTGCCAAGGTTGGACACCCCTGCTTTAAAGGCATAACACCTTGAACTGTATTCAGAAACAGTTTGATAGCCAGTGAAATTTGCAGAGCTGAGGTGTAATATGGGCCATCCTTAGGAGCCTCAAAGACTGCTTCCGCTGCTGTGCTTTGCATCAACTGGAGCTTCCGAATGGACTTCAATGCCTCTTACAGAGTGCGTTGTAATAGTCCAGGTGAGAAATGACTGCAGTTACATAATTGCAGCTGTCCAAAATGAACATATATTCTTCAGCGTTTGCTTCAAAATCCAGACTGGTGGAAAGATAGTAATAAACCTATCCCACCATGCATTTTGACTTTTAAGCCTGTTGACATAGCTGAAAGTCAAATTGTAGGGTTATAATATTCATGCTCTTTGGCAATTTCAGTTTCAAGGTTTTATAAAGGAGGTGAACATCGACAATTCAAAGAAACGAGTCTCAAGACAAGAAAAACAGTTGTAATAGGTGTGATATTTTTTTATTTTCTAGCAACTCTTACAACATTTGGCTTTGATCTAAAAAAAAATCTGGATATTTCATTAGACATAAACTAGATGTAAACATAAATCCACATTTGACCTATCATTTTTTCAAAACAACAACATGAAATTCAGTTCATTTCAACCTGCTTTATTAAGTTTAATTTCAATTTAGATAGCTACCCATCTAATGAAATGGATCTGAGTGGCAATCAGCAGATCACAAAAGAAAAATAACACCTCAATAAATCTGTAAACAGCAGCAAGGTTAAAAAAAAAAACATTTTGCTATCATTAGAATCATTCTACAGGCTCTGTCACATATTCCAACCCTTATTCCTGATGGAATAGCCAAGACATGAAAGCTGTATGAAAGGCTACCAGTATTGAGGGCAAATCTAATTTCAAGCCACCATGAGAGAAAACCTCTTTTGTTGGATTTTGCCAGATGGCACTCTAAATGGGGGCCTGTAGCTTTGCCTCTTCTGCTGGATCTGATAGGACAGGTAAACACAATCAGAGAGAGGCTTTATATGCCCTGCATACTTTTATACTACGATACTATATTTTCTCATATATCCCTAGATATATGTTCGTTTTAAAAAGTTTTGGGTTTTTTGTTCTTTGGATTTAATGATTTTACTTTCTTGTTTTAAGCAATCATCCTACTATGAACTATATGGTTTATTACAGTTTGTAGTCAAAATGGCACCAGGCGGGAGCATTGAACAATAAGCAATAAGCCAAAGCTGCTATTTTTTACTTTCATGATGTGAGAAGATTTGTTTTATTTTGTACTTAAAATTTTCTCTTCTGGTAATTATTTGTTAATAACTGGGCGTCAAGCAGGCATTGATCTTGGGATAAGAGATACAACTATGAGGCAGTCTCTACAGATCCTCTGATTCAGGCATAACCTGTATCCATCCTTGAGGTGCTCTGTTGAAGCTGGGTCTCTCGGAAAGTAGCATCACATCATTCATGGCATCTGCCAGAGGCACAACTACATCAAACCCAGGGAACGCGTCAATCAGTAATGGCCCACCAAATGGTGTAGGAGTCCTATAAGGAGGATGAGAAGTTCAAGACCGTTGGGAAACAAAGCATTAGGAAAACATAAGGGGGGGGGAATATTTGCTGCTGATATGACACAATCTGCAAGTGTCGAATGCAGATAGCCAGTAGCAAATTAAGCCACAATTTAGAAGTTCCTCATGATTTGCTAGTCAATATTTAAAATGTTCTGGCCGAGCAAGTTTCATTGCACTGTTTTTGTATTACGGCTGCAAAAGTGATCAGGGGAATGTTCCATTTGAGTTTCTTTTCTTCAATAATTTTTAATGCCAGATTTGTTCTGTGAGCTTCTTATCAGCTTTGCAGATAAACCAGTGAACTGCTTGGTGTGAAATGCAAACACATTTCTTTCGAACTGTTTGTGTATACTGTATTACAGCCATTGTGTTTTCTGCAACGTACACTGGTGTGAAGGTATGGGTTTATGCACGTATGCTTGTATATGATCACAAAACAAATGAGGCGTTGTTCTCGACCAATAGTCAACCCAGAATAGTGAGTCTATTGTCAAAACCTTATTTTGACCCCATCCAGCGAAACAGTTATTTAATTCTGTAGTGAAATAACACAGGATGAACAATGGAGTATTTTCAATTCTGGGTTGAGTAAATACCATTTCAGGCATCTTTTGCTTCCTGATGTCATTTTTGCTACTCGAGGGATCTGACAGCTCACAAGATGCATTATCCTAAACTGCAGTAAATCATGGTTTATGCAGGTTGCTAACTTTTCAAATTGGTGACATTGGGCAGAAGATTTGTTTCCAAGCAAGCTCCAACCAATGAAACAGTTGCTGTAAAATTTCTAAGAAATATAAAGGCTGAAGCCATTTAAGCTATTTCCATTTTATATTACCAAATGCCTGCAAATGGAAGCTTGCAACTTTTGGCATCTTCTCACTTTCTGGAGAGTCTGAGCTTATTTTTCCTTTCTGTGAAATCTGTGGATTATTTTTGTTTTTACATTTTGTATAGGTAGGTGGATGCATCTGAGTGCAAAGAAAGGACATAGTAGAGCAGACCTGGGCATTTTATGGCCCTTGCATTATATCCAGTCCTTCAGCTGTCCCTATCCGGCCTGCGGTATTGGAGGAGGCAGCCTTATTGGGAGAGAGCAGGATATCCTCAGGGCAGATGGGGCAACAGTGGCAGCAGCCCTTCACAATAATCTCATTTCTTATGTGGTCCCTTGAGAAAATTAATTGCCCATCCTATGGTATAGATAAAGAAGACTATGGCCATCAAGTAATCTCCATTGTTTTTAAATTATGGTTCCATGCATTTTAGAGTGGTCTGCTCTGATTCAGGTTTGGAATGTGTCAGGAAGCCAGGATGATGCCTTCTTAGAAATCATAGCATAATAACCCAGATGGAGTTTCCAAAATATTTGTTATTTACAATATATCTGGGTAATTTTGCGTTAACATCAGAAAGGACTAATTAGGACAGCACAATATTCCATGTGCATATCCCAGGGTAAGCATTTCAAAATTTCACCTTGGTGTTCAGTGTGGTCTTCTAGAGCAGGGGTCTCCAACCTTGGCCACTTTAAGCCTGGTGGACTTCAACTCCCAGAATTCCCCAGCCAGCAAAGCTGGCTGGGGAATTCTGGGAGTTGAAGTCCTCCAGGCTTAAAGTGGCCAAGGTTGGAGACCCCTATTCTAGAGTACTTCCTATCAGTCCAGGTCATGAATGTTCCTGAAAGCTCCTCTTCCTGCAAGGCTCACTGGCCATAAAGTCCTCTCAATGATTCAGAGCAGGGGAGGGATTCAAAAATCCCAGCAACCAGTTCACTGCCCGATTGCTGGGTGGGTGTGGCCATGGTAGGTGTGGCCTACTAGAACTTTCTATTTCCGCCTTCTGGTGGGCCTCCAGAGCCTGGGGGAGGCCATTTTCACCCTCCCAAAGGTCCAGAGGCCTCCCCTGGGCCTCTGGGAGGGCAAAAACAGCATTTCCCAGCCTCTGGAGGCCTACTGGAAGCCAGAAACAGGCCTGTTTTGCAACTTCCAGTTTCACCCTCTGAAGGGTCCAGAGGCCTCCCCTGAGCCTCTGGGAGGGGAAAAATGGCCTCCCCGTACTCTGGAGGCCCTCTGGAAGCCAGAAACAGGCCCGTTTCCGGACTTCCAAAAGGCCCATTTTTCCCCCTCAGAGCCTCCGTGCAGACCCTGCACTTACCTCCACTGAAAATGGGCCACATGGAGACTCCTGGGAAGGGAGGGGCAGGAGGGGCAGGGCCCGCCGGTCAGTTGAAATACCAGTTCAGCAAACCAGCTGTAACTTTAACGTCCGGTTCGCATGAACCGGTCCGAACCGGTAGAATCCCATCCCTGATTCAGAGTGTTAATTGCTCTGGCTTCTGTGCTCAGCAGACTCTCAGAAAAACAAGGAATCTGCTCTTGTAAAATCCAGCAATCACAAAAAGTTAACATGTTGATGAGCTATACCCATAGCAGCCTTAACCAGTGTGGTCCATAGTAAAGGATACAAGTGAGTAGCTTCAGGAAGGATATCTTTTTTCTAACATGCTTTAAAGAGCTAATGTTTGAAAATATGCATATCAAGTCTTATAGGAAAGGGGTGAACAACCTGATTACCATCTATGGAGTTTATGCAAAAAACAAAAAACAAAAGAAACAGAGCAAGCCTTTTTACCTGTTGAAATTCCTAAGGTCCAAATTATTCACTTTTGTGGGCTCAGGCAAATGGTTTTCCACATCTACTTGATCAGCATTGCAGAAGAATCTCCCCCAGGGAGACTGATAACCTTTGGGGATTGCAGTTCGGTTAAATTTCTCTGGTGGAACTTCTTTTAGTGGTCCAGAATAGCCTGCAATATGGATTGTCCAATAAAACAACTGTTTTAAGTAATGTGACGCCAAAACTTCAATGAAGGGTTTCAATTTGCTTATTTCTGGAAAACGCTAGCACATGTGATCGAGAAAAATAGGTTTCATTGGTTTCAAGTTGTGGGAAATCTTCATCAGCAACATGTTCTGCTTCTAGAGTGCTTCTTCGGTTTCACTCTCCTTTAACCTTGTTATCAGTGACAGTTGTTGCAATTTGCAGTTTCTTGGGGACTTTGGCACTACAGTATGTATTTATGAATTCAACTTCAACTGCTACCAAAAAGTAGCTAATGGCTGTCATTCCTGTTGCACTTCTGCCCTTCATTCGTTGTCTCAAGTGGGTGAGTGTATCAGAAGGACAATCAGCCTTGGCTCCTTTATAATTAAAAGTAAGGCTTCATTTTTTAAAAAGTTACTCATTAATTTCCTAATCAATCACGATTTGTCAACTATGGATGGACAATCCTCTGCTCCATTTTGGTTTTAAAACACTCCCAGCTTATACTGGAGATGAATCAGAACAGGACTATGAGGATGATGAGGGCTATCCTTCAAAATTGTTGAGATAAAATGTTGGAAATGTAGTATCACTTTGTCAATCAAAGAAATTCTATGATGGGACAATAAGCAAGGAGTTGTTTGAGAACAGATGATAAGCAAAAACCGGGGACAATTTAGGAGTGTTTACAGTAGCCCTTATTGGGAGAAGGTGTGTGTGTGTGTATAAAATGACATTATTGGATCTTTCTCCATCAAAATCAACCTGCCTTCCTACTTATTCAGCAACAACGAGAACTGCATCAGATGAAAGTGTCAAGGAAATGGACAACTATCCGATCTGACTGGATGTTTTTGAGCACAGGTGACTGTCTATATTCCTTATCATCTACGATCAAGAGAAGGATGGTGTTCCATCAGTTGTCTTTCCAGGCTGATCACATTTAAGTAAGTCCCTTTTGCTGCTAATAAACAGTAGCTCATAATGTAAATAACACTGACCTCCCCATGATGGTACTATGAACAATGTGAACAATAAGGTAAAGATTATATACTTCAAGTGAGCCCTGTCATGAGTGTGTAGACATTTATGCTCCCTCCTCCACCACAGCTACTCACCTTTTATTTTTGAGTTTATGGTGGACTAATCAATGTAGCATTTTCTAACATGGAGATATTATCAAGTTCTAAGTATTCTAAGTCAGCCAATGCGATATGTGGGAATTCCTATGAAAGCCTATGAACTAAGTCCAGCAAGCCTTTCTTCCTTGAGGCTAGGGACAGCTTGGAGTAGTGAAGAGCTTCTTACCTGGAGCAATTGCACTGGGGTTCAGGGCTTTGCTCATCCTCAAGACTTTGTCTGTTTTTTGTGGTACTTGGGGAGGCGCTCTCTTTCCAGAAGCCTCCATGTGATTTATGTCATTCTGATAGTTCTCTTTGCCCTCTGTGGAGTGAGCAAGCTAGCAGACAAAGGAGAACACGCATAAGAGGTAAATATTTTCTATTAGACAGAATACCCAATTAGGACCAGATTGTCTAGACCAGGGGTCTCCAACCTTGGCAACTTTAAGACTTGTGGAAT